GGAAATGGAATTTAAATCCGAGCCCATCTGCAGATCAGGGCAGTTGTAAACTTCTTTAGTGCCACAAGCAAGGACTCTGTAGCTCTTGGCAAGGCCAGGGTGAGCGTTCCTGGGGAGCAGGACATCAGTTGTTCTGGGGAGGAAACAACCAGCCAGCCCAGAGCCTCATCAGCACTTTGACTGGGACACCAGGGCCCAGCTGGCTCCTCTGGACCTCTCTGCCAGCCATGGTGTAATGGAAGCTCCTTTTTCTGGAGGGTCCTGCACGCTGTGTGCTGCTTTGTCCTCTCCATGGATTTTCCCTGCAGGCTGGTGCTCCATGCCCAGGATGCTCCATTTCCCAGAGTTTTGGCTGGCAGCAGGGTGAACCAGCCCCACCAGCTCCCTCTGAACGTGCCTTGCTCTGCTTTCACTGGGGGGCAGAATAAATCAGTTTATTTCCCTTTCTGGACTGGCAGGAGCTTTCCTGTCCCTCAGCTCATTTCCACAGACTGGAGTTCCTTTGGGGTGCAAGGGGCAGAGCTGGAGCTGGGGCAGATCCCCTGGGCTCTGCACCCCTTCCTCATGCCTTGGATAAATCCCTGGGATCAGGGCAGCCCCTGGTGAGCCCCCACGCTGGTGGCACCTTGTGCCATGGTGGGACAGGGAACATTGATCACCCAGGATCACTTTGTTCACTTGTTTTATTGTGAATTTGCAGGTTGGGGAATGGACTGGAACTGTTCCTACACTCGAATCACTTCCTGAAGGTCTGATTGTTTCTTGTGAGGCTGGTGGCAGGTCCTGGAACGTGGGTCCATTCTGGTTTTTGGTCAAACATAAAGCAAAGCCTGGCCCTGAACCCCTCCCTGGGAGGTGGCTGCTGCAGCAGAGCCACGTGTGAGTCTCAGATGATTCCAGCCTTTGAGGATTTGGTGGGTTTGTGTCAGTTCTTTGAACAACTCTGTCCCTGCTGAGGAGTTTGGGGCAGCCCCAGCTGCATTTCAGGACTGTAAAATGATCTTTTGTCATTCTGGCTCTTTGGGATGTGATTCTGCTTTATCAGGGAGCTCTCCTCAGTTGTGCTATCCAGGTTTTCACATGGGGAGGATCCTGACTTCTCGAAACTCCATTTTCAGCGTCACTGCCACTGGTGTCTCATCTGCAGAATACAGGAGGTTTACAAGTCAAATTCATTGCAGCTCTTAAATTGTATGTGCAGGGAATGGCAGGAAATGCCAGAACCCAGCAGTGGGATAGAAAGTGTACAACGAAATGGAAAAACCTCCTGTGTGCCTTTGAGGTTTATTTCATTTCTTCCCTGGTTAATTCCCCTCCTTTGGCTCCCCCAGACTCCAGTTAAAGTGTTTGATTTATTTCTCCTTGTGTGGTGGGGGTCCTGCCTGTTGGAGCATCGTGGGGCCACAGCAGCTCCCTGGCAGGGTCTCTGAGGGATCAGAGCTCTCCTGCACTTGGAGACTTTTCATTTTTATTGGTTTTAATTTTTATTGTTTGCATCACAAAGTCTTGGTACCATCTGTACTTACCTGAGCTTTTCTCACCCCTCCCCACACTCCATGGTTAAAATCTCCTTGTTGGGTGTTTGCTGTGCTGGTGTGCAGTGAGGGAGCTCCTGGAATTGCTGCCAGGGAGGAGGAGCTGAGCTGGGCCAGGGGCTTTGCCTGTTGTTCCCAGAGCTCTGATAAACACCCAGGAGGCAGCTCCTGGCAGCTGCTGATTTTAAAGGGATGTATTAATCAAATTAATTGAGAGTTCCTTTTAATAATCATCAGCACCAACATAACTTTGTGACGTGATGTTTTCAGTGTTGCCAAAAGTGATTCCCCCCGAAAGGATCTGTGCAGATAAACCAGCTGATAAAGTGTTAAATTGTCCCTTTTGCTACCTGATAACCCAGTTAAGTGGTGATAAGAAAAGCAGCTCCTGGAGAATTTCAGGGCAGCAGAATAAAGTAGTTGGTGTTGTAGCAGTGCCCAAAGAGCGGCCAGCCATGGGTAACCACGGCTGCTGGAGCAGCGCTGCCCTGCCAGCCCCGGATCCCCGGCGCTGCTGGGGCCTGCAGAGAGCCCTGCCCGGGGCTCTGCCCGCCAGGGCACGGGGCAGGGACGGCAGGAGCAGCCTGGCATGGCTCAGGGCACGGAGCAGGGATGGCAGGGCATGGCTCAGGGCATGGCTCAGGGATGGCAGGAGCAGCCTGGCATGGCTCAGGGCTGGCAGGGCACGGCTCAGGGCTGGCAGGGCACAGCTCAGGCTGTGGCTCAGGGCATGGCTCAGGAGCAGCCATGGCACAGCTCAGGGATGGCAGGATCAGCCAGGGCATGGCTCAGGGACGGCAGGGCATGGCTCAGGAGCAGTCAGGGCACAGTCCAGGGCACAGCTCAGGGCTGGCAGGAGCAGCCAGGGCACAGTCCAGGCCACAGCTCAGGCTCTGCTGTGTCCCCAGCCCCTGTGATCCCTGCTGGTTTGGGTTCTGGCTGCCCCCTGACCTCTGTGCCAGGCTCTGACACAGCACTGGCATTCCCAGGGAAAACAAAACCATCATGTGCTCATCCCCCGGAGGGTTTGTGCTGTGCCTCTCACTGCACAGTGGGTGGGTGGGCCCCGAGCAGGGACCCTTTATCCCAGCAGCCCGAGTGTTGGTTGGTTCGTGGTGTGGGATCCACAAATCCCATCCATAATGGTTTGGGTGGGGAGGCACCTTAAGGATCTTCTTGTTCCACACTTCTGCCGTGGTGGGACAGCTCCCACTGCCCCAGGCTGCTCCAAGCCCGGTCCAGCCTGGCCCTGGACACCCCCAGGGACCTGGACGGGCTCTGGACGTGGCAGAGCAGCCCCTGCTCAGTCCTGGGCTGTCCGTGGCTGCCAGGCTCTCATCCCTTGCCAGGCACTTTGTGCTGCTTGGAGCATTTGTCACTTCTCCAGGCCACCAGGGGTAATGAATTACTGCAGGAGTCCTGTGACAAGATCCTGAATTTGCAGCTTTCATGTTTTTACCACCTAATTCCCTCAGAGGTTTTTCCCTCAGAAGTGCTGTGAATTAACCTGACAGTTTCAATAACTGTGCACATGTTTCCTGTTGTGGTGGAAGGTGGGATGAGGATGTGAAAGCTGAACTTACTCCACTGTGCCCTTTGGACAACAGACACCCAATTCCCCGTGCACTCTGCGTGCCAGGGGGTGACAAAGGGCACACTGATATTTGCCATTCATCCCTAATTCCTCCTTGCCTTTTCTCCTGAACTCCTGTGAGCAGAGGTGGTGCCAAGGCCAGCAGGGCACCATGGCATCTGCTGCTTTTGGGAAAGCTCTCGCCCTGCCTGTGGGATCCCTGCCAAGTGGGACATTTTGGGAGAGCTGGAGAACACTGCTTGTGGCCTTGGGTTCATTCTGTCTAATTTTGACTGGGGAAAATAGAAAGAGCATGTAAAACTGCTCAGATTTCTGAACCCGCTGGCAGTGAGACTTTCAATCTTCATTTAAAATTAAGTTCATTTTTAAAACTCAGTAGTGTTTGCTTTTAAAGGGGAAAAAAAAGTTGCGGAAAGTTCAGGTTGTGATCATTGCAAAACAAAATGAAATGTTTTATGTGAGTCAGAGAAAAACTTGGGGGTTATTATTCTCCTTTATTCTCTTCCTGTTCACTGTTTCATTCCTCCCCTCTGAAGCACAGGTTTTCCCTTTGGAGCAGCCGGCCCAGCAGAGCCCCTTTGCCTTCAGGCAGCTGCAGCTCCGCTTCTCTCTGTCAAAAGTCAGGGGAAGCGAGGCTGCCCTGCTTTGTGAGGGGCTCAGGGACGGGCACAGGAGCTGCAGCTCACCATTTCCAAGCAGGAGTTTGGTTTTCCCAGCTGTCCCGTGCTTCTCTCGGGGTTTGCTTTGCCCTGGGAGGAGGAGGATGCTCCGGGGCTGAGCCTCCTCCTCCTCCTCCAGGTCCTTCACCCTCCAGCACCTTCTCCAGTGCTTCAATTACCAGGACTTTCAAATCTGGGTTTTAAAGCCTATCTGTGAATCTCTCCCTTGTCCTGCTGCCTTTTAATTAACTCATCCCCACTGCTGGTTTTTATTAAGAGCTCTGATACGTTATTAATTAACGCACTGTGCACTGTGGTGAGCAGGTTGGTATCAAAGATGCTGTAAAAGATGAAAGTGATTACTACTGAGAAACAAAATAATTAAGGCAAAAGTTGTGTTTTCATCTGCCAGCAGCAACCAGAATGTCAGTGGAGATGGGGGGTTTTTTAATTCTTTTTTTTCTAAAACAGACTAGACAGCTGTACTGTGGGAACTGTGCTGAAAGTGGGTGGGTTTTGGTCTGGCTGCAGGTACCTGTGGCTGTGCTGATGCTCTTTGCTGTGTTCCCTGGTGTTTATGAGGAGTGCCTTTCACAGACTTTACCTTGAGGCTTCACAGTTTGTGTCTCTCCATCCTGTTTGGTGGTGGGCCCTTGAACAAACAGGGATTTTCTTGCCCAGTGTGGGTTTAGCCAATATGTCAGCTTTGGCTGTTCCTGTGCCAGGTAACTCATTCCACTGGAGGCATTTTCCCCCAGTAGCCCTCAAGTTGTAAAATCAAAAAGATTCTCAGCCCTTCAGTGAGATAAACCTGCCCAACACCCTTCAGTACCTTCTGCCTCTCAGCCCGTTGTTTTTGGGGTTTGTTCATCAGTTCAGGCTCGTTCAGGTTGCTCTTGTTTCCTGTTTCAATTCCTCTCCTTTTCACCCTTCCCCTGCCCATTTCTTTGCTTGTTTTGCTGTTCTGCAGTGGGCTGGGCACAGTGTGTGTAGTCCCTGACCCTGCCAGCCCTGCAGGCTGTGCTGTCAGAGCAGGAATTGCGTGGATCCCTCGGGATCTGGCCATGGATGCTGGAAGGGCAGTGCTCCTGGGGAGCCTCCTCCCCTCCCAGGCTCCCTTTGGGCCGTGCCTTCCCCACTGCCTTTGCTGGGCTCTCTGACATTTGCCTGCCCTCCCCTGAAGGTGCCTTTGTGCTCTGCTCTGTGGCACAGGTGGGCTCTGCATCGCCCAGTCCCTGAAGATCCCCCAGGACCGCAAGGACAAGAGCATCGACTTCGACAGGATCATCCGGCAGCTGCTGGAGACCCCCAACGCCAGGGCCATCGTCATCTTCGCCCACGACGAGGACATCAGGTGGGGCTGGGCCCTGCCTGGGCTCTGCTGGGGAGGGGGAGCCAGGGAAAGGCTGTGCTGGAGCCACGTGTGGAGCTGGGAGTGGGGGGAAGCACCGGGCACTGCTGCTGCCCGGCTCGTGGGTGCCCAGGCTGTGCTGGAGAATGGGGACCAGGCTCTGGGAGCTTTTCCTGGAGCTTTTCCATGCTCCTGTTGGGTGGCAGAGCTGACCTTTCCTCTCAGAGGAATTACGAACACGCCCCCCTCTCCAGGCTCGTTCGACTCAGTGGAGTTCATTAATTCAGTCTATTTTATGGCAAATGAAAGTTAATAGTGATAAAGTGACTTGGATGCTCAAGGTTAAACCACATGGAATGGGCTCATAAAATAACACAAAGAATATTTTATATTTCATTATTCACTTGCATATTCTGGCTCCAGAATTTGAAATTAGCTTAAAATTGTGATGGAATCATCAGTTGCTGAGAGGCCTGGTCCCACAAAACGAGACAAAAAGAATTTAGGGAAAAGTTTCAGTAAAGCCAATGGAAAAACTCTAAGTTTTAGTGGAATCAATAATTCAGTTGTGGGATGTAGGGTGAATTTAAAGAGAAGTCCCATTGGTGCTGCATGGATCATGGGATGGTTTGGGTTGGGAAGGACCTTTGGAGACCACCCAGTCCCACCCTTCTCTGGCCCAGGCTGCCCAGAGCCCTGGTGATAGCGAGTGTCCCAGCCCCTGAGCTCTGCTGGGTCAGGAACGTGCTACTCCTCCTCACCACAGCCTCAGTGAGGCTGGGGAGACCTCTGAGCCCCCCGCTTCCCTGGAGCAGCTCCAGGTGCCGGTGGATCCCCTTTGCAAACCAAACTTTCCTCTCCACAGGCAGGTCCTGGCGGCTGCCAAGAGGGCAGATCAGGTGGGACATTTCCTGTGGGTGGGCTCGGACACCTGGGGCTCCAAGGTGAGCCCGCTGCTGCAGCAGGAGGACGTGGCCGAGGGAGCCATCACCATCCTGCCCAAGAGAGCCACCATCGAGGGTAAGAGCCTGTCCCTGTCCCTGTCCCTGTCCCTGCTCCTGCTGCCCCCGGCACACACGCTGTCAGCACCTGAACGCGGCCCGGCTCCTGATGTCTCCCTGCATTCTCACCTGGAAGCTCGAGGCTGTTTCCCAGCTGAGGAGCTGTCAGCAGCTGCTGGTCAGAGCCCTGGTCTCAGAGCGTGGGAGGGTGTGACAGGGCTTTGTCCCTGGGAAGGAAAGCCCAGCTGGTCTGGACCTGCACTCAGGAGGGAGCCTCTCGGCACGCGGGTCTGCTCTCTGAAACAGGGGACAAGTTTTCTACTGAAGGACTAAAACTTCATTTTCCATCAGTGGTTTCCATTTAAACTCAGCTGAACGTTTATTTCAGATCAAGCGCTGTATTTATCCATACTGCTTGTGTGCTTCAGAAATATCCACACCTGTACAGATGTGCGTGTATGGCAAATTTAGGGAAGCTCATTTTGCTGAACCCTTTTCTTTCTCAGCTTTCCTTTGTGCTCTCAAGTGTTTGTTTTCTGATCTGACCTCAGTTTGTTGATCCTCTTGTGGGTAAAGATGCTTCAGCATCCACGTGGCTTCCCCTGGGCAGCAGCGAGGCTGGTCAGTCTGTGTTCTCTGGGACAGGGATGAAAAGTCATTTCCAGGGGAGGCACTGAGCAGAGAAACCCAACTCCTCTGCTGGCCCGGTCCTCAAACCCCTGCCCACTTTAAAATGGGTTCTGCTGTCTTCACTCCCTGGAAAACCAAATATTTGCATTTTTTCCTGTGCCTGCACTCCCTGCTCATCAGTTATTCCTCTCAGGTAGATCATCTGCTTCATTCTTTTACATTTCTAGCCCCCCAAGGCACTCTTGGATGTTATTTCTCCGTAAATACAGAAAGTTGACAGACAATGAAGTGGTTTGTTTCTGAAAAGCAGGATATTTTAATAAGCTTTTCACACTGTCTGTATTCATCCCTGAGGGTTTCTGACACAGAAACGAAAATTCTGTCAACAGTAGACAGAAACAAAAACTTCCCACGTTTGTTTGTTTTGAAATATTTTCCTTTTATGTTACACAAACCCCTCATGGGAGGCACGAGGGGGTTTTGGACGCAGTGACTGAGGATGGCAGTGTGGGAGAGTTCAGGTGTAGAAAGTCAGTTAAGTTAGAGGTAGGAATAGCAGTGTATTTGGTGTATCTGCAAAAAAATTGTGTTTATTGAGCCTGCAAGTATCTCCTCGTTCAGTGGAGAAGTGCCTGACGTAGCCTGGGTGCCTTTTGCACTCGTGGCCACACAGGCTGGGGGATTCCTTGGTGCCTGAATTACATTTTGCAAATCTCTGTGCCCGAGGTGTCCTTCAGGAGCAGACACTCCTTTGGGGGCTGTGTGCTCCTTCCTGGGGAGAAGAGCCTCGGGCAGGGTGGGAGCTGTGCGGGGCAGGGTGAGGGTCCCTGTGCAGAGCAGAGGGCTCCTGCTGCTCCCTGGCCCCTCCAGGGGCTCAGGCTGCCTTCTGTCCTCCCCAGCCCCGTCCAGCTGTCCCCAGATGCCATCTGGATGTGCCACCTGCTCCTGCTGGCACGGGCTGGAGGGGGTTCAGGGAGCAGAGCTCATCCCAGGGCTGCTGGAGCAGTTCAGCTCCCACATTCCCTTCCAAGCTGATCCCATTTCTGTCCCTTGCCCCAGGAGAACAGCCAGTGGACGTGTCAGGAACCCCCAGGCTTTGGTGTTTCCATGCCCAGGGAAGCCCTGAGCCCTTGGGATTGCTGCCTTCCTCCTGCCCAAGCTGCTGGAGGTTGTTCTGGTTTCCTTTCTGCCCTTTGAATTGTTGAATTCTGATGTTTGGCCACGAGACCCAGAGAAAGGAATTGGACATTTTAATGTCATTCTTTCATCATCCAGAAATGAACATCTAAAGTTCAGCAGTGCATAGCTTTTGGTGAGGGCATAGAATAAAAAATAAAGCACCTTGTTTTTCCCTGCAGGCTGAAGGAACCAGGCTGCAGGAGCAGGCTGAGCTCAGAGCCTGAGCAGAGCCCAGCTCCTTCCCAAGCAGCATCCCAGGGCTCCAGGGCAGGGCACAGCTCAATTCCCTCTGCATTCACTGAGAGCTCTGTGTTAGAGTCATGAGCTCTGTGTTAGAGTCAGGAATGAGGGGCTTGCCCTTGTTTTACTCCTCAAAATCACCTCTTTTCTTTTCCCCTTTCCTTTTATCGCTGTCTGGAGTGGTATTTGGGATATGGTGGAAGAAGGTTCCTAAGAAACCTTGCTGGAAGCAGAGAGGGCACTGCAGCTCGTGTGCCTTGACCTGAATCTTGACCCTGCCTCTGGCACAGGAAAGGGAATCCTGTGTGGCTGCCCAGCCAGGAGCCTCCAGCTGCACAGGAGGGGATGTGCCTGCGAGCTCAGGGGTGCACGGCGCTCTTGGAGCAGCAGGGTTTGTCTGCAGAGCTGCTCCTCACACGGGTCATAAACTGAAACCCTCACTGGTCAGAAAAAAAAAAGGCATTTTTCAAATTATTCTTCACTCCCAGCGGTGACTTCAGTTCAAATTCCAGGTGTGAGGTGCAGGTGTGCTGGGGTTTGACAGCTCTGCACACAGGTACCAGCTGATGTTCCTGCTTCCCTGGCACTGGGGATGTCCCAGCAGCCTGTGACTCCAGAGGGGGCCTAAAGTGTTTGGCTTTTTGTAGGATCAGGCCCCAGATCCACACTTATTTGTCTTGGTACTTGATGCCACTCTTGGGACAGAATTTTCTTTGCCACAGTCCCATGGGGGGGATTTAGGAAATCATTAGATGAACTGAATTCATTCATCTTAAGTCAGTCTTAATATAGCCTGATTGTGTTTGATGTAATTATGCTGAAAGGATGAAGTTGCATTTTATTTGCATAATTGCAGTAGACAGTGAGCCAGAGAAGTGCACATGAAAGAGGAATCACTCCTTGGCAAGGTGGGAACACGCTCCAGTGCCAGCCCAGCCAGGTACAGGGAGCACGAAAGGCTTGGAGAGGCTTTCAGAGGACAAAGAGGAGGTTGGATGTATTTATTTATTTGTTTGTTTGTCAGTTCACAGAGCAGCTGTGGCAGCAGGATGCTGTGCCCTGCTCCTTGGTGCTCTGAGCTGGGCCCTGCTGACACCAGAGATTCCCAAGCCTCATCCTGAGCCGCAGAAATTGTGAGGGATGTGCTCAGCTCTTCCTCCCCCCGGTCCTGCCCTGTGCTGTGCAGGGTTTGTTGGGCTGGGCAGTTCCAGCTGTGGCACTCGGTGCTGCACTGAGCACTGCACAGCTCGGGGCTTTCCTCTCAGGTTTTCCTCGGGAAGGCTCCTCCTGCCCTTCCTCAGGAGTGTGCTCTGTCTGCTCCATGGACCCCAGCTCCCAGGGAGGGGAGCAGCTGGAGGAGAGACACAGAGGATAGGACAGAGATTTGGTCTGAATTATTTAGAAAGTCTGGCAGAAGCTTTGCTGATGTGGAGAAAAGCAGTCTTTACTGTCTGAGCTCAGAATTGCTGCAAGTGAGCAGTGGGATTCAGATAGATTTCAGATTCATGGTTCAGTTCCAGAGGCTGGGCATGGGGCTGAGGCTGGAGTCTGTGAAGCTCTGGAGGAGAAGGTTGAGGGATTGCTCAAATCCAGCACAGGGATGAGTCTGTGTATTTAAAAAATTAAAAGCTGCAAGCGCTGCAAACCAGCAAAACTGTCCCTGGAATCTTCAGTTGTTTGTCTTCCAAAGAGATGTGAATCCCATTTTGTGTTCATTTCCAACAAGAGCTGGTTTACTCCTTTTTTATTTGGGCAATATGGACTCTGGAAAAAAACATGGAAGAGTATTGACTTAGGCAAAACTGAGAATGAAACTCCCTCCTTTCTTAGGGCTCTGAAGAGTTTTACCCTCACAGCCCCTGAGTGCCAGAGGGAAGGAGCTCAGGGTTCTTTTTTCCCTGGAATGTTCCTTGGGAATGATGTGCTGCCCTCAGCCCTTCCTAGCTGCTCAAACACAGCCCTGTGTCTCCAGCAGATCCAGATCCATGGGCTGCCCAAACACAGCCCTGTGTCTCCAGCAGATCCAGATCCATGGCTGGGGCTCAGACACAGCCCTGTGTCTCCAGCAGATCCAGATCCATGCAGAGTGGAACAGCACAGCAGGAAAAAGGCCAGGAAACCCCTCTGGGAGGGCACTCCCAGCTCCGTGGGGCTCAGCAGGGGCTGCTCCTGGTCTGTGCCACCTTCCAAAGGTAATTCTGCCAGATCTGCTGGGAAGGAAGCGACTCAGGGGCCTCAGACTGATTATTGCTGCTGGAAGGAGGATGGTGTAATTGCTTGTGAATAATGATGAGGCCTAATTAGAGCCCGTCTTGTGCTGCCACAGTGCCCATAGCACCTGCCTGGCTCAGGTACAGCCCCAGCTCCTCTGGCTGGGCAGGGGGTGACACTGGGCTGGTCCCCTCAGTGCCACCTCCCTGAGCTCCCTGCAGGCTTTCACTGCTGAGTCCCTCTCCAGGTTCTTTCCTCTGGCTGCCCACAGTGCCCACCTGTGCCCAGCAGCCCCCAGCCCCTTGGCAAGTCAGGGGTCGAGTCCAGGTGTGAAGCAGGAATCCTCCTCCTCCTTTGCACCTTTGGTTTTCTGCTTCTCTGTTTAATTACTGCTTCCCAGAGCATGAATTTCCAGAGAAGAATATTCCAGATCTAATGGGATCAGTTGGGTTTTCGGGGGATTTGGGCAGGTTTATTGTCCCAAAGCCAGGAGGAGGTGAAGCCACCAGAGCTGGGGCTGCTCTGCTGCCATGGGGGCCTGACCCAGAGCTTTGGGCTCTGTCACAGCAGCTTCCAGTGACACAGCCTGCTTCAGGTGTTCCTGGTGACACACCTGCTTCAGGTGTTCCTGGTGACACAGCCCTCCTTCAGGTGTCCTCAGTGACACACCCTGCTTCTGGTGTCCTCAGTGACACAGCCTGCTTCAGGTGTCCTCAGTGACACACCCTGCTTCTGGTGTTCCTGGTGACACAGCTGCTT